CTACATGAGTCCAAAGGTAGGTGTGTAGTGTGCCCTACTTCTCTCTCTCTCACACACACACACACACACACACACACACACACACACACACACACACAATGATTTATGTATGTCAGGTTTGGAAGCTCAGCTGTTTTTTCACTTGTGTGGGAAAAAAAACAAGTGTGACAATTAAAAAGAAAGGAAAGTGATTGTTTGCTTTTTCAACTCACAGCACTCAAAAAATGGCTGAAAAGATTTCATTCAAAATTAAAAACAAAAACAAAACAAAACACAAACAACAACAACACTCCTTTGGACAGAGCTCAAGCACGGAAAATTTCAGCCCAAAAGCTGATTTTTTTCAGAAAGCTAAAATCCAGTGAAAACAAATCATGTAAACTGTTTTTCAGCCTTATTTTCGTGGAGGCCTAATAGCATCCATTAAACTCTTCAAATATATTGTCAGGATGTTGAGGATGTAGATTGTGTGAATAGTCTATTTTTACCAATCATTTGCAACAGGAAGACTATGTATGTTGTGTCATTTTATCATCTCAAATTGTGGTAAGATAGGCACTTTTTAAAGGCCATAGGTCAATTTATTCCCTCATGTAATACAATTGAATCTTGACTCCTGTTGAACCTCTGAGCTGATGACATTCACAGGATCTCTTTGTGTCGAATGAGCCCATGTGGTAGGAATATTAAATCAGTGGGATTGCACCCGGGACGTATTTGACTCTTTGTGTCTTTCAGGAGTTTATCAATGCCACCAAGAGACCATTTCCATCTGAACTAGAACTAGTAGACTTCAAAGAAAAAACGGAGGAAACCAGGCAGCAGATCAACAAATCTGTTTCGGAGCTAACCGATGGCAAGTATAGTTTAATCCAGGAGACCCTACTTAACGTCTCTGAAGAGAAATGAGAATTCTGGTCCCTTGTGACATTTTTTGCTAACATTTTCAGACATAAATATGTAGTGAAAGAAACGGGAACATGCTTTCTTAGTGTGATCCTTAAGATTAATGATGTTAAATATATTCTGACATAGAAAAGATGCAGTAGTGAAACTGAACTAAGGACTAGATTGTGAAAGCCTTCCGTATCCTGGTGAGTAGTTACACTTGACTTCAATGGGTCAATTTGAGAATAATTGCTCTTTGATGTTAGGGGTTCATATTCGGGCCTAAACAAACATTCAAAGGACCGTATTAATAATTTTAATCCAATATCTGACCTGCTTTAAAGTTGTATGCTAATGGCAAATGTTCCCCAGATTCCAAATTTTGTGGGTCCCCCCCCCCCAATTAATTTCATATAGGCCATTCATTCCTTGGCCTGTTTGCTGACATAAAGGTGCCAAATGGTGGTGATATTTCCTTATCTGGATATGTCTTTATGCAATAATTGGACTGAGATCACTTACTCATATCAAATAGGCCACCAATTTGATATGAGTAAAAATATAAATTTTTTGTCAGAAGTTAATGATGTTTTGGACACCACCAATGGATACCAGATTTGAATCAGTGACCAGGAGACTAAGGGTCCCAGGACAGAGTGTGCAGAATTCCTTAGGGGGGTTGCATTCCCAGCTCTTGCCAGCCTGCTGCTGAGTTTAGTAGCACAGGGCTTGATAGCACTGTTTATTTACTGAGCACTCACAGGATTTCTTGGTCACTAGTACCCCCAGTGGTAGGACTATGAAATTAGATATACATGATTCAGATTTTCATTCTTCCAGAACTGGCACAGGTGGGATTGTGCAGATAGGCACAATATGGGCAGTACAAGCTAAGTCTGTGCATAAAGAGAAGTTATGAGTCTAGAATGCTGTCAATCCAGTTCCTTTCGTGACATTGCTAAAATTTTAGAGTGTCTGGAAAACAACGAAAATACCTTTCTATGACTTTAAAGCGTACCATGCAGTACTCGGTAGCGTGCTATAACTGAAACAGCACGTCTTGTTTTTTCCCATTCGTCTGATACCATCTCAGTCTGAAATTAGCAGCAACTAGCTTTGAACTTTGCCTTTTGCTCCCTAAATTACAAACTGTATCTCATAGAAACTTGCTATAGAAGCCTGCAGCTCTCTAGCCATTACCTTTCTGTATCTAGTGTCTGAATGGCTGCAGCTCTCTCATAATAGCACTTGCTATTTATCCTGACCACAATGGATCAGATTCATTAAAATCCATTACTTCCAAGACAGTTACACCAAAGATGAATTTGGTCTACAGTCCTTAAAAATATTCCTTGTAAAAATGTAACCAACTATAAAAATAAAATAACCATCTGTAACTATTTCACTAAAAATGAAAGATCAATAGCTTTTAAGAATTTTTTTTATTATAATATACCCAATATAGGAAAAATCATCTGGATTCCAACACCACATAAAACACAAAATAAATATTTTACATCATTTGGAAGTTCAGGTCCCCCCCCCAAGTTAGGCGACAAATACTAAAATCACAAGTAGGGTGTCTCCCTCTTGAATTAAATTTCCTCATCTGTGAGTACAGTATCTAGCCAACCCTAGTAGAGTAATCAACTATTCGAACAACAATATTGCTGTATTCTATTAATGACGTGCTTTTTTTAAAAAAACATGTGCACAGGTAAAATGGAGAACATTTTGAATGAGGGGAGTATAAATGACCAGACTAAGATCCTCCTGGTTAACACAGCTTATTTTGTAACAAACTGGATGAAGAAGTTCCCAGAGGCACAAATCAAAGAATGTCCCTTTAAAATCAACAAGGTATGTTTAAAAAAGGCATTTAAATTATCCTGTTTCAAAGTAAGTAAACGTTTGGAAGAATTGAAATAGAAATCTTCAGTATTACTAGGCTGTCATGGAGCTCTCTACTGAGACTTGTCATTTTGTGGCCTGGGTGCCTTGAACTGGTTATCATTTTAATGTGTTGGTGGTTTTATATTAACCTTTCAAAGACCCCACCTCATCAGTTTCTATGATCTGAAGAAAGTTACCAGATATATTTTTCTCTATGCTGTGAAGTTTACTACACCACATGTTCTCAACCTTTTTCTTTCTGAGGTCCCCACAACACGCTATAAAAACTCCACATCCCACCAGTGCCCCAACAACTCTTTTTCTGCATATAAAAGCCAGGGCTGGTGTTAGAAGGTAGCAAGTAGGGCAATTGCCTGGGGACCCACAAAGCTAAGTTGCTCAGGCTTTGGCTTCAGCCCCAGGTAGCAGGGTTCAGGGCCCCGGGCTTGAGCCCTGCATGGCTTTATGCCCAGGACCTCAGTGAGTCTAAAACTGGCCCTGCTTGGAGGACCCCTGAAACCTGCTTGCCACACCCCAGGGGGCCCCAGACCCCCGGTTGAGACCCACTCTATGACTAGAGTGTCATGGACAGAAAGAGTGACCATTAACTGCCATTATGTGAGTGAGGGAGAAGTGCAATCTCACAGGTAACTGCACCCCAGAGATTGTAACCAAGAAACTGCATCCTAAACCAAAGAGGTAGCCAGTGCAGGGCACAGAATATTGGTGTTATACACTCAGAATGGCTCCCCAGCTCGAGACAAATCACTGCACTAGCTGAAGACTTCAGATACCCTTGAAGTAACCTCAAGTAGCTCACATTGCGGCAAGCTAGTCTAGAAGTTACAGAACAGTAGATCACTGTGGTGGGATTTGCGTCAAAGAGAATGGTCAAAGCCTGTGGCCATGCAGAGACTGAAAAAAGTACAACACACTACAACTAACTCCTGATGATCCAGAGACATCAACGACTCCATCATAACCCAGAGACTGTTAACAGCACTGGCGAAGGCTAGTCGCACCTCCCAGAGAAGGCATACTCACAGTTCCCACCCATTCCTCAGTCTAAATGCTTCCCCCTACCCATCAGCAACACTTCCATTTTATTGGAGTGGAGACACTAAGCCGGTGTTCTCAAGGGAAAGCACGGACAACAGTTTCTGGGTTCAGCCAGGAGGTGGTGCAAAGCTATCTAGATCTTCATGCTAGAGCTTTGGAGCACCTATCTGAAGGTCATCTACAAACTAGGAACATTTCAGGCCACAGTATTTCACTATGTCATCTAGTGAAATAGCATGTCCTTGGCTTTTGTAACATGGACCATTATTTTCTCACTGGGTCAATGGTATGTTGGTCCAGCTCAGGATCAGTTAATAGTTTTGTTTGACAGTAGTCAAAATGTTAATGACAGGAAACATTTGGCTGTATCATATGATTGGACCCCAAAAGTTCCTTTCAGACTAATATTAAACAGTTTATGGAAACAAGTATCAGGGGGTAGCCATGTTAGTCTGTATCCACAAAAACAACGAGGAGTCCGGTGGCACCTTAAAGACTAACAGATTTATTTGGGCATAAGCTTTCATGGGTAAAAAAAAACAAAACATTTTTTCCATGCATTCCTCCGAGTTTATGGAAAATGTAAGGTTCTTTATAAAAAAAGAGGCACTCTTATAGCTTTCCACTTGTAGCAGAGTTGTTGCCAATTTTTTGCTACCCCATCCTGATTATGTTGTACCTCAGCCATTGGCATATCTTCAGTGCCTTAGGCTGACTGATATTGCAATGCCTTTTAGATGTTATACATTGTAATTTACAGTGAAACTGGTACCAGAGGCCACCCATCTGCGGCAGCCTCCTGTCTTCAGAAACCTCCCCAAAGTGTCCCCCAGTGTATTAAGTAGAAAGCCATTTCCACCCATGTTTGTCATTCTGGAATGAGGCCAGACAGGTTTCACTGTATATGAAGGCAAACAAATGCCCCAGTCCAAAGAAATGATGCATAGGTACAACTCTCACCCAAGCACACATACTTGCCTTCTTTCCATCCCATTTGTGAAAGAAAGGGGCTGCCAAGTTGTACCCTATATGTTTTACAGACTGAAACAAAACCAGTGCAAATGATGAACGTGGAAGCTACGTTTTGCCTGGGCTACGTAAAGGAATTAAAAATAGCAATCCTTGAGCTCCCTTGCCTCAACAAGCACATGAGCATGCTCATTCTGCTACCAAAAGAGATTGAGGATGATACCACTGGCTTGGAACAGGTAAGAGAAATAGACAAGGTTTAAATGTTGTTTCCAAGGGAAGCATTCCATTTACAATAATTCTGCCTCTAAGGTATATTTTCTGTATTATTCTCAAGCTACTAAGAAGGGAATATTGGTTCCGTAGGAGTTAACCGTCTCCTGCTTCTCTGCACCTGATGTCGTGTTTGTGAAATCACATTTCCACCTCAGCTAAAGGAAATCACTTGGAGTGCTGTATCTAGGACCAAGTGCTTTTGTAGAGTCCACTAAGTGCCTCACCGCATCTTTAGGCACCTAAATACCTTTAAAAATCTGGCCCAGAGATCTAGTTTCCATGTTACTGTATGTGTAGCCTGGTGATTATAGCAAAGCACTTAGGCCCAGATCCACAAAGGCACTTATGCTTCTAACTTTCACTGAAGTTAAAATTTGCAGTGTATTTGTAGCCATGTTGGACCCAGGAGGTTAGAGAGACAAGGTGGGTGAGGTAATCTTTTATCAGATCAACTTCTGTTGGTGAAAGAGACAAGCTTTAGAACTTACTCAGAGTTCTCAAAGTTTGTCACTTTCACCAACAAAAGTTGGTCCAATAAAAGATATTACCTCACCCAACTTGTCTCGCTATTGAAATAGAGGGTTGTTAGAACCTAACTATCTTTGTGGGCATTACAGTCGTGATTATTGGGTTCTCTTATCAGCTCTGACCTGAACTTGTTCAAAGGTAAAAAAAAAAGTCACTTCACTTTTCATGCCTCAGTCTCCCTCATTTGTCAAAGGGTATATACTAGTGCAGGGATCGGCAACCTTTGGGACTTGGCCCACCAGGGTAAGCCCCCGGCAGGCTGGGCCAGTTTGTTTATCTGCCGCATCTGCAGGTTCGGCTGATAGTGGCTCCCACTGGCTGTGGTTTCCTGCTCCAGGCCAATGGGGGCTGCGGGCCGAGAGATGTGCTGGCCACCGCTTCCCGCAGCCCCCATTGGCCTGGAGCGGTGAACCGCAGTTCACAGTTCAGACATTAAGGGTCAAGGAACCCCACTTACCTCTGTGCTACTCACTGTGAGTAAAGATCTCAGAATCTGGCCCTAATTGTGTTAGCACTAGCATAAGCACATGCAGTTTTGTGAGTACTATCATTTATACATGGAAGTTGTATTCAGATCATGAGACATCCTTTAATTCAAGTTCGAGATGGATTCCAATGAAATCACCTGCTCTGCACACCCCTCAGACTTTGGGCCAAATACATTTCTGGAAACAAACACTGACTAGATTAGGGTGACCAGATAGCAAGTGTCAAAAACTGGGACAGGGGGTGGAGGGAAATAGGAGTCCATATAAAAAAAGCCCCAAATATTGGGACTGTCCTTATAAAATTGGGACATCTGGTCACCCTAATCTAGATCCAGATCAGAATTTTGAAGCTTGAGTCTGTTGTCTAGTTCAAATGAACATAAGAGTGGCCATACTGGATCAGACCAAAGGTCCATCCAGCCCAGTATCCTGTCTTCTGACAGTGGCCAATGCCACATTTCAGAGGGAATGAACAGAACAGGTCATCATCAAGTGATCCATCTCCTGTCACCCATTCCCAGCTTCTGGCAAACAGAGGCTAGTAATTCCATTGCTCGTGGGCATGGGAATCAAGAGGCCTTGGCTCACATATCAGCTTTGCTTTTTCACTTGCTATGTGGCCCTGGGCAAATCACTTAAGCGGTCCTTCACAATTTCCTTGAGGTACCTACCTCAGAGGGCTATTGTGATGATTACTCACACAGTACTTGTAATGTGCTAAGGACCAGATTATAGTCATTTAATGGAGTTACTATAGAAACCTACACCAGTGAGTTAAACCAGAGTTATATCAATGGAACTGAAATTTACCCTTCGGCATGATAATTACTATATATCAAGGGCAAGTTTAAGTCCCTTATCTTTGGTTTTTGAAGTGAGGAGGACAGTGGGGAGTGTCTTTTTCCCCCCTTAAACTGACCATTAATATGCTCCCTTGCCTTATTCTTTCAGCTTGAACAGGCGCTCACTCCTGAGACGTTAGTACAGTGGACCAATCCCAGCGTGATGGCCAATAGCAAAGTGAACGTGTTTCTTCCCAAATTTAAGGTGGAAGGGGATTATGATCTGAAGCCTGTTCTGGAAAGCTTGGGGATGACAGATATTTTTAACGAGAATGTAGCAGACTTCTCTGAAATGTCTGAGACTAAGGGCGTGGTTTTGTCACAGATCATCCATAGAGTCTCTCTGGAAGTAAATGAAGAAGGTGCTGAATTGAGAGAGGTACCAGGATATCGGATCCTGCAACACAAAGATGAATTTAAAGCTGACCATCCATTTATCTTCTTGTTTAGGCATAACAAAACCCGCAACATTATTCTTTCTGGCAGATTCTGTTCTCCTTAAATAGGGCATATCTATTGAGAAAAGCAGAATCCATTTGTTGTGATTCATATTTCTGTAAAGCTTTGCATCCTGAGTACCACCACTGAAAGGTAATCTAAGATGTTCATATATCAAACAGGCAGCACCACATACTTTTCACATGCAGCAGTCATATAAAATGATGCAATTTAACTCATTTTGTTTCACTCACCTAGAATAAGGAATTTAGCACCACACAGGAACGCTCATGTGTTTCATCAGGAAATACCCCATCTCCAGCAAACAAACATACATTCATGTTTCTCTGATGCATTTCATTTTCTAAAAGAAAATTAAATCAAAGTCCATTTTCCTGGAGGAAGGTGAATTGGAATTGCTGAGGGATCTGGAATTTCATAATGAAAGCTGGCTCAGTTTTCTATAAATTTATCTTGTGCTGTATCCAGAATCTTTCCAAAGTGTAATCCTACTTCCAAAAAAAAAAAAAAAAAAAAGTATTTTGACTGGGATAGCTTTGATCCTTCGGTTGACTGTGCACTGGCACAGTGGTGTGCTTGAGTGGAACGTTATTGGCTTCAGTGAGACTCCATTCGGGTTGAGCAGTGTGTCTACACCGTCTGTTGGAGGACTGGGGCTGCCATCTGTAATATGGAGTTAACAATTCTTATTCACTTTCATAAACTGCAGCGATATCTAGGGAAGAAATGCGCTAGATAATAAAATAATTAATGATAATACTTACAGTTGTGACCGTAAGCGCCAGATCCTCAGCTGGCAACCTCAGTGGAGCTATGTTAATTTACACTAGCGTAGGATCTGGCCCCAGTAGCTTGGAAATTCCCTAATGATGCCCCTTAAATGATGAAATCAAGTTGGCAGTGTAAGTTAGCTAAGTGGCAGTGGGGTAGTAGTAAAAAAAGAAGTGAAGACTGAACTCTCTATTCCCCGAATGAGAAGTGGGTAAACTCACTTTACCCTCAACTACACTACTGCTCAGTGGCAGTTCCAGCTATGAAGAGCCTATGTTGTGTATATTCTGAAAATGAAAACTGGAAATACTGAATGTACCAACCATTTGCTATGGAACGAGAACTGCCACACGTCTCAGGCTTGTGTTGCCCTATCATTTCTGACTTCAGAGTAGTCATTAAAGACGATCCCCACAGTGAATGTGATGTGTAAAAAGGAAATCCAGACATTAACAGGGATTAGATTAATATATTTAATTCCTGGTGCAAGAATGGAAAAAATGATATTTTTTTATGAACCGGGTCTTCAAGCAAAACATAACAGCACTGTAAGTAGGTTTAATTTCTGGCTAAGGTCTTCCTGCTGCATGTGTTCAGTATTGGTTTACCTTATACCATTCAGAATAAAGCATTATAAAAAGAAGTGTGTGTCGTCTACTTTTAAACTGTTGTTCAAAGGCCAAAAATTGGTTTCTGTTATATTCATGCCCACCGTTTAATCCTGTACTATCTATATTACAGACAGATAGGATCTAGACATACTTTGGATTTATTTTTTTGTTAAAAAAATTGTTGTGTGGTCAAAACAGCAGATGAGAAAAGTGGTTACTGCATCTCCAAATATTGAGTAAGTTTTTTTAAGATATTGAGCTAAAGAAGGTTATGTGATGAATGGATGACTGATGGGGAGAGATACATAATTAAAATGGTTGGTTAAATAGTGCCTCTCTTCCAGCTGTTCACATCAAATGTAAACTGGAGCTTTATTTGGAGTTCTGCATTTTTCTAGGAATGACTTTTCAGCAAAATGCCTGCAAAGCCTCCAAACAGAGCCAGCTCTTTGTTTTTTGCCGCCCTAAGCAAAAACAAAACAAAACAAAAAAACTGGAGTGTCGCCCCTTCAGAAGTGCTCAGGACACCGGTGCCTGGAGCCGGCCCTGTCTCCAGAGTCAGTATGTTGCAATTGGTCCTTGTCTTCTGATAGATTGTGGGATTCTGAAAATTCACCTCAGCCTCTGAGCCAAGATAACAGACCTAACATTTCTGGATCATCCTGGAAACCAATATATCAGCATTTCACTGTCAAATATACAACACTAATGGTTCAAAATCTGCAGTAAGTCCAAACAGATGTGAACATTACAGGCAAGAGACTTCTTTTGGTACTCCTGAACTGAAAACAAAGCCAAAGGGGATTCCCAAAGCCCCTCTCAGTGGGAATGCATGTGACTCAGGCTATGTCTACACTGCCACTTATGTTGGTATAACTTATGTCGCTCAGGGGTGTGAATAAGCCCCCCCGAGTGATTTAAGTTACACCAACCTAAGCTCCAATGTGGGCAGTGCTATGTTGGAGGGAGAGCTTCTCCCACCAACATAGCTACCGTTGCTCATTGGGGGTAACTGGAGATCCCTCTCCTGTTAGCTTAGAGCAGCTCCACTACAGAGCTTACAGCAGTGCATAGGTGCAGCTGTGCCGTTGTAAGCTCTCTAGTGTAGCCATGGCCTCAGAAAATATAGGCATCTACCTTCCAGAAACAATATTTCTGCAACACAGGGGAAAACCCTGGGTCTAGTGCAGGGGTCGGCAAGGTTTGGCACGTGGCTCGCCAGGGTAAGCACACTGGCAGGCCGGGCCAGTTTATTTACCTTACCTGCTGACGTGGCAGGTTGGCCAGTGGGGACCGCGGTTCACCGTCCTGGGCCAATGGGGGCTGCGGGAAGCGGCGCGGGCGAGGAATGTGCTGGCTGCGGCTTCCCGCCGCCCCCATTGGCCCGGGACGGCGAACCGCGGCCAGTGGGGGCCGCGATCGGCCAAACCTGCAGTGTCAGCAGGTAAATAAACTGGCCCAGCCCGCCAGGGTGCTTACCCTGGCGAGCCGCGTGCCAAACGTTGCCAACCCCTGGTCTAGTGGTTAGAGAGCTGGTGTGAAGACAGGAGTTCTGGGTTTTTTTCACAGCTATACCACAGACTGTGCGTAACCATGGGCAAGCCACGTAAGTCCTGTGCTTCAGTTTCTGCATCTCTAAAATGGTGGCAATAACCCTACTTATGTTGCTAAGTGTATCTAGAGACTACATAGGGCTCGTAGGTGCTACCATAATACATAGCCATCACAGCGGGAAATGAGGGATGGCAAACATTTAGTAGAATCCTTGTCTGGGCCTACAGAAAGGGAAATAGTTCACTTCCCAGCAGCCTGCAAATATCTCTCCCCTTCTGAATGGATGTTCTCAATGACAATCAGCTAACACTGTGCAATAAAGTGAGGAACAACTAAGGGTATGACTACACTGCAATAAAAATCCTGCAGTTCTAGCATCCTGTGAGGAGGGAGGGTCCCTGAACTTGGGCTGCCGCCAAAGCCTGAACATTTACACTGCAATCAAACAGCCCCGCAGCCTGAGTCTCAAAAGCCCAAGTGAGCTGGCACAAGCCAGCGATGGTGTCTAATTGCAGTGTAGACATACTCTAACTGGCTAATCCTTTTGGTGAAGTGATCTTGTGACCAGGAAACCCAGAGCAATAATTATTTTGGCTACAACTATTCCAAAATCCTTTTTTCATGCCTCCTGCCAGTTTCAGAATAACAGAGTGTGAAAATATTCTATTTGGTGAGTAAGGCCCAGTTCCACAAAGTGATTTAGGCTCCTAACTTCCACAGATGTCAATGGAAGTTAGGAGCCTACATATCTAAATATTCACTTGCTGCAACTTGCTTGCTGTTTGAATTAGAAATAGAACGTCACACACATGCTCCTCCCATTACAATTAGAAATCAAGGCTTCTCAGACCTAATGCCACCCCACTGTGAGCTATTATCTGACCTCACCACCTAACCAGGATTGGGCTTGGACAGTATTTGATAGGAAATCTCATAAGAAACACTTCTGGCAGGTATTGCAGAAAGTGCTGTTGCTGATTCAATAGGTGGTGTGATGTCCTTGGAGACACAGTGGAGTGCCAAAGGGCGCAGCTGAAGATGGAATTGTGATGAATTTCATCTACTGCAAGTCCATGGAACTGCTTGGTTTGCTCACTGATACCAAGCACTGTTTCATCGTACACATCTTCAATCTCTATGTAGACCTCATTACCACAGTGCCTGATACCTCACAGTCTTTATGCTCACAACACCCTTGTGAGGTGGGGAAGTGCTATTATCCCCATTTTACAGATGGGGAAAGTGAGGCACAGAAACTAAGTGACTCACCTAAGACCCTTCATGAAGCCCGTGGCAGAGCAGGAACTGGAATGCAGCTTTCCCAAGCCCTAAACTAGTGCTCTATAGTACTGAACTATCCTGCTTCTCCACATAATTCCTTCACATAACTCAGGAAAGAGGCAACATCACTTACCAGACAAGGAAACTCTTTACACTTTATTCTTAAAAAACCTGAGTGTAGTACAACAGCCCAGTGTGTGGAAAAGAGTATTTTGCACAAAGAGAGGAAATTACTTAGCACAACAGCTTTTCTGCCCCAGGAAAACTTTCTGAAACTATTTGCCTAACTGGAACACATTAGGCGTGCAAAGTGAAGCATCTTAATGAGTCAGGGATAATAGTAGTCATTCTCAGGGATAGTCTGGCAGTGCCTAGGGAGGGCCTGTACTCCAGCTGAGACAGAGACGTCCCAACCAAGCACCACACTAATGGTATATGTTGGCGGTTTTCACACTTTTTTTCTGGCGACCCAGTTGAAGAAAATTGTTGATGCCCGCGACCCAACAGAGCTGGGGATGAGGGGTTTGAAGTGTGGGAGGGGCTCAGGGCTGGGGCAGAGGGTTGAAGTTGCGGGGTGAGGGCTGCAGGGTGGGGCTGGGAATGAGAGGTTCAGAGTATGTGGGGGGCTCTGGGCTAGGGCAGGGAGTTGGGGTGCAGGAGGGAGTCAGGGCTCTGGGCTGGGGGGAAGCTCTGGAGTGGGGCCGGGGATGAGGGGCTTTGGGTGCAGGAAGCTGCTCTGGATTGGGCTGGGGCAGGGGATTGGGGCACGGGCTTACTTTGGACGGCTCCCAGTCAGCGGTGCAGCGGGGGTGCTAAGGCAGGCTTCCTGCTGTCCTGGCACCTCAGACTGCACTGCACCCCGGAAGTGGTCAGCAGCAGGTCTGGCTCTCGCCCACAGGTTCCCAGCCAATGGGAGTGCGGAACCGGTGCTCGGGATGGGGCAGCGCATGGAGCCCCGTGGCCCCCCTGCCTGGGAGCCGGACCTGCTGCTGGCCCCTTCCGGGGCACTGCGCGGTGTCAGAACAGGTAGGGACTAGCCTGCCTTAGCCGGATAGCACTGACCAGAGCCACCGCAACCCAGTGCCTTACGTTCGGCGACCCAGTACTGGGTCGCGACCCGCAGTTTGAAAACCACTGGTATATATAACCCTTCTGCCTGGTGAAGTTGGCAGCAACGAAGGTCGGGTTCTATATCTAGAGGTCCGTCTTAACAACATAATACACAACTGGCTTGAGTCCCCACCCAGTAATCTGGGAAAAATACACACCACTCCTGAGTGCCTCTAAAAGGCCATACTTCCTCTCTTGCAAGCAGTCTGTGTATGGAAAAGAAAACTTTTAAAGAGAAAGGGAAAGGAACCCAGCATTAATTTGAGAAAATGCCACAAGCATGATTCAGAAGCATATAACCATAAGCAAAACTCCCACCCAAGAGTAGGCTGGGCAATGTCCTTTGCCTCAGTTTCTCACAGTGCAGTGTGAAAGTCTGACAAACTAATGTTCTGTTACCAAGCCGTTTCCCTCTCCCTCCACCGCAGCCCACTCACAGTTGTGGTCCTTGGCCAGCGATGACTCAGAGTTTAGAGATGCATTTATGTGAGATCACCTCCTGCCCAAACAGGAGGGAAGGCATCAAGCAATGCCTCAGCTGCTGCTTCCGTGCCATCGTTCACATCACGTCATTGACCTCCACACTGTCATTCACTACTGCATCATTGTTTCCTCCATCACTGTGCCGTTGTTCACTCCACTGCTGTTAGCTGCTTAGCCATCACTTTCTCCGCTGCCACCAGCCTCCCTACTACAACCTCTGGAGGTTCTTGAGATCCCACCACTTAACACAGCTCTCTGATTTCAGCAAAGGCCACACCACCAGGTACAAACACCTGTCCCTACACCTCTCTCACTTTTACTGGGATTTGGCCTCCCCACCCCCTGCTTAGCAAGTGCAGTTCAGTTGAGGGTGAACCCTTCAACCAGGGCAGGTCAAGCACAGCCTTCTGCCCCAACTCACATACCAAGGACAACAACCGTTCATCACTCCTGCACTCAACACCAAAGTGACTTGCAATCCAACACCAGTCAAAAGTGATCATTCGGGCAAATCTGCTCCATGATGCTGAGCACCTAGGCAGAGTAGGCGTGTCTATGCAAACAAGGTTGGTTCCTAAAGTCTTTTTCCCCAGCTCATCACTAGATGTCAGGGGAGAGCTCATTCAGACCCTGCTTAGACATAGTTTGTATAAGCAAGGAGTCAGATAACCAGCACAGGATGTATTCCAGGACAAAAATGCGTGCTAGGCTGGAGTGCAATGTAAATATAGGTAGTGCAATGATAAGAAAAGGCTTAGCAGAACATTGCCTTTATCATTAATAA